TTTTTTTTTTGGGGGGGGGTGCTTTTTTTAATTAAATGATACCGGAGAACATTCTCCAAAATTTTTTGTATGATAAAAACATTTCTGTTCTATATTAAAATAAAACAAACAAAAGTCAACCGTAATTTGGAAACGTTTCTGAGAGATTATCGAGTATATATCATGCAATAATTGGGTTTAATACTTGGATTTTGAAGTTCAGAAAGTCATCTTTGGGTTTAAATTTTTCATTTTTTCTTCAAAATTATGCTCTTTTTAAGAAGGCCTCCACGTGGCAAGAGCTGGGCAACGGTATCGATATTATTTTTTTAGGGGGAGAGGGATAATTAAATGATACTGGCGAACATTCTCATTTCGTTGCAATTGTTTTCTATAAGATTATTCAAACTTAATATTAATCTATTAAATATTTCATGGTTCACGCTGAACAAACAAAAGAAATAAATAGCATTAATTAGTAAAGAGACCAAATTTAGGGGGCTTTTTGCAAACGAACTTTCTATAAAAATATCTAAGGGGCGCTTTGACCAAAATCAGGGGTTTGACCATTGCTTGGTGACTGTTTCGAAACGGAATTCTTCTATAAAATTATATTAGGGGGCGCTTTGACCAAAATCAAGGGGCGCTTTGACCAATATTTGGGGCGGTTTTGTTCCATCATTTTTCTGTAAAAAAAAAAAAAAAAAAACCATGATCAAGATCATGGGGCGCTTTGACCGGGACGGTTTTGTTAGGGGGCGCATTGACTGGATTGTTTATGAGTCGACGGGAGTTACATTTTTTTGCGATAATTCGTTTTTGGAAAAATAGTTCCCCATACCGAGCTCTAAAAACACAACTTAAAACCTTTTTCTTTGAAATATTTTAAGATTACTTTTATATTTCAAACATGCTGAATAAGAATAGCATGTCTGATTTCATGTATATAACCCACAGTAGTGTAAGGTCTCCATTTACCTGTAGGTCTTCCGCGGCCCAGAATAAAGCAGTGATGCTTAAAAACTAGAGGGCTAAGGTCACCATAGCATGTCAATGGAATTGGACTTCCGTAACTGAATATTGTTTAGATTTTTCTAAGTCTTAAGTATGTAAATTCAATTAAATATAATGAATATCCCCAATACTTCCTCTACACTAATATACGAGTACATTTGAGAACGAGGTTTTTTGAAAAATGAAAAAAAGCAGTGTTTATTTACTCGATTATAAATGTATAAAGATACCCTTGCAGCTAAGTTTCAGAGATCTCTCTTATTTCTTCTTAACATTTTTTTCTCAAAAAATATAGTCGGGACAGGGAGACCGGTCCTTCGGATGAGACCGTATAAACCGAGGTCCCGTGTCGCAGTAAGTTCTGGCACGAAAAAAATCCCTCACTGCTCAATGGCCCTAAGTGCCGAGCATAGGTTAAAATTTGCAGCCCTCCACCGGCAAGTGGTGGCATCTCCATATGAGTAAAAAATTCTCGAGAGGGAGAGGTCTTTTTTTATTGATTTACCTAAAGAATCCTCCGCATTTGTGAATGATTCAGAAGAAATTGTTGGCGGCCAGTTCTCGTTATAAGCAGGCGAATAAGTTTGTGTCGGTACACTAGTGGTACATGCTGAGTAGCTGCAATAAAAAATTATGTTCCATATTTACTCTAAGCATACAAAACAAAGATGGTGTTGCTCTGAAGCGGTAAATTCGCAAAATCGAAACTTGTTGAATGTTGTTAAACACTGGTGACGCAGCTCTTTATTGCATATTTGCAATTTAAATGTCATTACGATTTCCCTAGATTTAACATTGAATGGGACTATTACTTGTATATTCGTATAATTACACAATACATAGTTAAGAACCCCACTAAAGGAATACAGCTTTTGCGAAGTGTGGAGAGGACTATTGAAGGAAAAATCAACTCGTACAGAAAAACCAGAAGTCAACTCGTACACAACATTTATATACAATCGTTATGATTTAATTTTATACAAATAATGTTTGATAACACGAAGTGTTACTTTTCTTTAAGTTTTTAAAGTTTTTTTCCCTAAATATTTAAATAATTCAACTTCCCTGATAGGATAGGAACATCAAAGACATCAAAGAAGTATTGTTAAATCAACACCCGCGCGGTGGTTTCTTGGATCTGCGACAAACGCTAATTACGAGATGCTCATAATTCGGTATCCTTTAATTATGAGATACTATATGTATCGAAAACGTCTCCAAGTTTCTTCATTCCTTATACTTCACCATGGTTCGAGAGAGTTGTCTTTCCTGCAGCAAGACGGTAAGTTTTTAAAACTTTCTTCATTTAATTAAGTTTAGACAAGTGCAAGAAAAATGTGTTATACAGTAAACCATTAAATTCTTACCATGTATTTAGATCGAATTAACTATCTACACTATATATCTATTTAACATAATAAGTTAGGATGCTATAAAATATTATATTCTACATCAACATACATTACTTGCATAACAGAAAACTTTTTAGAAATATAAAAACTACGTATATCAATTCTGTTGACAATTAGAAATCCATTTGAATTAAGTTTTTCACCTACATATTTAACAAATAAAATATTTAAATTTACAATATAAGAATTATTTAAGATAATTCCGTTTATTTAAGAATTAATTTAAGAATTAAGAATGAATTTGACAATCTTGATTTAGTTAACTCACGTGCCAAAATGTTGATACAATTAGAGAATATGTTACAGTTAAGCAATGTGTCTTTGATGTGTATAGCCAATTAAGATTAAGATCTATAAATATATATATACCATTTTTGTTTACAGTATTATTTCAATATTACTGTTATATGTGTGTGTGTTATTATTTGCATTATATCTTTATTTAAGATTTACTTATGTGTTGAATCATGTTAGAGATGAATTCTATTTTGTTCAATGAAGGGTATAAATACTAAATTATCAGTAAAAATAATTGTGTGTATATCAAATAGGTGTGTACACAAGTCAATAGAGTACAAAATACTTAATTAGTTTAAAAAAAAAAGATAATTTTGTTCGATGTAGTGTGTACACTAGTCACTATGATTAGATTATCAAATTTTCTTTAATCTAATAGATTAACTTCAACAATTCAATTTTTCTGTCATGTCAGTGTTTAAATAAAGTTTTACAGCATTTATTCTTAATACATTTAATATATCAAATTTTCTTTAATAATTAAATTTTCTGTCATGTCAGTGTTTAAATAAAGTTTTACAGCATTTATTCTTAATACATTTAATATATCAAATTTTCTTTAATATAATTTTTCTGTCATGTCAGTGTTTAAATAACCTTTTAAAGCATTTATTCTTAATACATTTAATATAACATTAATGAATTAAGTAAATATCCTCTTCAACTGGTCTGAAGTAATTACAAAATTCTGAAAAATGATAAGATGACAACATTGCTACTGTTTTTTGACTCAGGAATATTGACATATAGACACATCTATATTGAGAAAGCGTTCAGCTCCATGAAATAAATGTTATTATATAGTATAGTCAAATTCAAATAATGTAAAAGGTTTATCCTGGTATAACACCAGAATTCTAAACAATACAAGTTGAATGTATTTAACAAATATTGTAAACATTGTAAACAATCATTTAACAATAATATTAAAGAATTAGCTCAATAGTTTTATATGGATGTGAAATGTGGTTTTCATACAGTAGTGTGCCAAAAGTGAAGATAATTTTATTTTTTCTCTTATTATCTCATTGAAAACAACATTTTGTAAAGTTAATATATAGCTCTTAGTTCAAAAACATTATTAACTACATCAATTCGTTGGATTATCAAGAAAATTGTGATCATATATTTATAACTGAACAAGGAAAATATAGTATACAAGTAAGGAATAATAGAAAAACTTTTAAGACTGAGATATAATAAATTGAAGTTAAATGTTAATTGAAGAATTATATTAGCCCTGTACTGTGTTATGCATCTGAAAGAACTACGCACGGTAACTCCCGATTCCCGCCTACATTTTACAACCATTTAATTCAATATTGATGACAATTTGGCCATAAAATCTTTGTTTAATACAAAGAACAGTTCAATGGTAATTGATTAATTATTTTAATTCCAGTGCTAAATAGTAAAATATCCCTAATTCCAGCTCTTGAAATTAGGGGGGGTAGACGATATTTTCCACTGAAATCGGGCTATAAAGCATCACCATATTCTGAAATAATCTTGGATATGAATAAATGTTTCTTAAATCTTTTCTTATGTTTTATGCATATAAAATTAAGCATATATATTAGTAAAATATAATGTTTCAGTTGTGAAGCACTTGGAAATTGCTGAAAAAATAAGCATTTTTGTCGTTTTTTTGTATATAAACATATGTTCCCCCCCTGAAACACAAAAAGCTTTGGTATGAATTTGTGAAATAACAGTCCATATTACCCGTTAAAAGGAATTTTTGTTTCACGGGGGGGGGGGGGGGGAAGATGTTTTAAAAATATTTTCCGTTTTCCGTTGATTTCTATAGTGAAAAACACGAGTGTTACCAAAATTTTAGAGTTATCTCTCGTTGTTTTCCTAAAGAAGTAATGTTTTATGAAAATCCATATAAATATCAATATAAATATTAAAAATCATTCGAATATGTTAACTTTTGAAAATTGACTTGGAGGTAGGCGGGAGAACAATGCTATCGTTCGCAGTTCTTTGGGAATGGCACAAAGCTAAAGATATAGGAAAAGTACACCTTTCATTTTGTAAAAGAATACTTAAGGTTAGACAGAATACATATAACAGTATGGTATATTGTGAATTAGGTAAATTTCCTATTGAATTGATCAGGAAAAAGAAAATCCTTAAATACTGGTTAAAATTAAGAAATAGTGACAATTACCAGAATAAGACTATCAGCACATAACTACATTTTAATGTTAAAGTATTTAAAAAAAATTTAGAGAAGAATCTGTAAAATGAATAACATGTCTTCCATTTTGCAGTTTGCTGAGGACTTCATCGAAACCGGTTTCTTCAGGGCGGACATCCGGGTGAAGGACCGTAGGCACCTGTCTTTGCCACCGACCAGCAGCTGGAGGTCCTCGCCTCGTCGAAGCAGTGGTTTGTGGACGGCACATTCAAGTTGGTCAGGAAGCCCTTTACCAAGCTGCTGTCCATCCATGCCTACATCAGGAGCGGGGATGCCCTGAAGCAGGTGCCACTTGCGTTTGCCCTGATGTCAGGAAAGCATGCAAAGGACTATAGAAAGGTATTTTTCATAATCCATCTTTAACTTACTTTAATATTTAAAGTCTTGAGATAAGATTCTTATACTTTTATATCAATGTTATGACTTTTAAGACACACTATTAAAAAAAAAATTTAAGAGAAGATTGATAGGATAAGATTCTTATACTTTTTTCTTATTACTTTTAAGACACACTTTTAATTTCATTTATTTATTTCAGGTATTCCAGTCCATTGTGGAATGCCTCCCTACACCCCCTGCAGTGACGCTATTTACGGCTGACTTTGAACGTGGTATATGGAAGGGATTACAGGAGGTCTTCCTCGAGGCCAGGATCCGTGGTTGCGTCTTCCACTGGTCTAAGGCAGTGTACACCAAGGTCCAGGAGAATGGACTACAGGTAAAATATTTAAAAAATTATTATTTATATAATGAAATATATATTATTTAATTAAAAAGTGTTTTAAACATACATATATATATATATATATATATATATATATATATATATATATATATATATATATATATATATATAAATGAAGGTAGAGGATATATAAAATTTCAAGACATAAGACACTCTTCAAATTTCAATCTCAAAACATTAATTTTGCTTTTATTTTAATCAGGTTGCATACAGAGAGAGAGAGACGACGTCAACAAGTGTGTCCGGAAGTTGATGGCTCTCCCTCTCATCCCTGAGGAGCACATCGTTCCTGCCTTCCAGAGGATAAGCAACTCCGTGGGGGAGGAGGGACCCTTGAGGGAAGTTGTTGACTATGTCCAACGGACATGGATCAACAACCGCACCTGGCCTGTGTCATCCTGGTGTACCTTCAACCAGTCCACTGGATTTTCCTGAAAGCCCCCTCCCTAACCAAAACACAGCTACGTGCCTACCAAATTTGACGTTTCTTGATGGTACATAATCCCACCTCTGATGATTTAGGGGTCCGTGTTTGCTCTGCTCCAAAATTTGTATTGAATGGACTTTTGAGCTTGATTACTGTTGTCTCCATTTATTTCGCCAAGAGTCAGTCAAAGAACGAGTTGACAAATATGAATAAAGAAGCCGGTAATTAACTCGTTCTTTAAATAGTTTCTTCATTTAGTAGAATCAAATGATGTTTCTTTACAACGGTAGAGAGAGCGCACGATGTTACTCGCGTCGATGTTCTTATAGGACATTCTTAAATCCCTTTAGAGTTTTTGCATGCACGACCGAGTCTAGTAGGTGGTTCCAGTGTATACACGTGTCGACAAAAAAATGAGTATTGGTACTGTGGCGTTCTGCTGCTTTGTATCACTAGACCTTTGCTGTTGTTACACACACACGTGTTTGTTGTATGGTGGTCCCTGAAATGTCTCGGTTTAATTTGGCGTTTAGGTTTGGCACTTATTATGAATGAATGAGGAGACGGTGACGGCACCAACCCCTCAACCACTTTGTACATGAGTATAAATCTGGAGAGGATTTATGAAGAGGCCACTGTCTTTATAGCTGGCCTGAAGACCCTTGAACATCATTGTCCTTCCTGATATACTAGTACTTTATTTTGCTAAATAAAATATAGTCATGTTGAATATTTTATTTGTCAAAATAAAGTGTATCAGGAAGGACATCATGTCTAAACCTGCTCCTTCTCCAGCTGTGAGGACGGAGATGAGCACCTGGCCATGCTCATTTCCGACATTAGTGGCACAAGTAACGGTCTCTGCAGCTGTACCCTGCAGTTTTTTTTTTACTACCTTCTTGGTTGAATCGACTTTCAATATCCTGCCTAATACCGAAGAGTTGGCTGCCGTTACTTCCTCTGACCGGACGAGTACATCTTCAGGCGCGTAGCTGCCTATACGCAAGTGCGTACACATCATTTTCAGAAAAAAAAGAAAGAAAAAAGAGAGAATTATTCGGAGAAAAAAAATCTCAGTACCATCCAACAAATATTCGTGTGTCAAATTATTCTGTGTCATACTGTGTCGATTTAAATTTTAAATTATCATGGCTGTATGATAAAATTTGAAATCTTTTATTTAATAACTGACAAATCCAAATAAATCATTCATTATTTTGTCATAATTCTATCATACATTGATATTTTTTCTAAGAGATCCTTGAAAAAATAAATTTCACCCACATCGTTGAATGCTATGATCTACTAGTATGATTTACAATATCATACCCTGTCCTTGGTTGACAAAATTTTTAAAGTTGTTAATTTTTCCTGGCTGGCAAAAGCTATATTACGTGCCTTAAACACTCGGGGGGGGGGGGGGGGCTCAAGACCCCCCCCAACCCCCTGCCGTTTTCTGCGTACACATCATTTCTATTCTGGCTACGCGCCTGATCTTGGCAGAAGATGGAAAGAAACCAATGGCCAGATGGAATCTTTTGGGGTGTCAGGGTTGGCGGAAACTTGATATTAGACAGGAATTCCCTCTTTTGCGCATTCGTGAAGGTCTGACAGTCACTGAGGTAGCGAGCTGTCCTCCTCAACATTTCTTCCCCATGAAGCTCAGCGAGGTTCTGACTCAGCCTGGCAATATTCCCAAGTCCTCGCTGACACATCATCTTAACTACTCTAGCTCGCATGCCATAAGACGAGTGAAGATACACGGGGACTGTCTGCAGGCGGTGACACACGTCCACTCTGTTGAGTAGTTCCTCATTCCAGCTGCTCGGCGATCCAACCACTGTAGCAAGGTTTGGCAGAAACCTATGGTAATAGTTCAACAGGCCTAAGAATGAGCGCAGTTGAGACACATTTTCAGGTTTAGGGGCATTCTTGACAGCATTTATTTTGTCATTGGATTTATGTAAACCATCTTTGTCTATTACATGCCCGCAGTAACTAATTTTGTCCCTAAAAGAATTCACACTTTTCCAGATTTGCCCTTAACCTTTGTTGTTCGAGTCTCTCAATACTGAGATTCTGTAAGTGTTCTTCATCCGTCGAGCCTGTAATAATCATGTCATCCAACATGCATTTAGTTTTTGGAATGTTTGGAAGGGCTTGGTCCATGGTTCTTTGTCAGATAGCAGGAGCGGAAGCGATTCCGAAGGAAAGTCGATTAAAGCTGATAAGTCCCCTGTGAGTGTTAGTGGTAAGTAAGTTCTTTGACGCGTCATCAATTTCCATCTGCAAGTACGCCTGCGTCAAATCTATTTTGCTAAATGTCTGTCCTCCACTAAGGTACGCAAAGATATCTGCTATCTTTGGTAATGGATATTGTTCGATTTTCATAGCAGGATTAACTGTCACCTTGTAATCACAACAAATTCTCAGTTTGCCGTTTGCCTTGGGTAAGGATACTATTGAGGTTTCCCAGTCCCTAAATTCAATAGGTGAAATGACACCTTTTTGCTGTAATCGATCAAGTTCCTCTTCTTCCCGAGGTCAGAGTGAATATGCAACTTCTCTGGCCTCGTAATATTTTGGTCGAACACCATCTTGCATGGTAAGTTTTCCTTTGATGTCTGTCAGTTTCCCGATTCCTGTTTCAAACACTTTCTTATGTTTCTCCAGAATTTCGTGGACAGTCATTTTCCCAACAATGTTCTGTTTGTCATTAGATAGTCTGATTGATTGGATTTCCTTCCAATCAAGTCGTAGAAATTTCATCCAGTTTCGTCCCATGAGAGTTGGTCCCTCCTGTTTCACCACGAGCAGGTACAAATTTTAACCGAGTATCTGCATCCTCCAGGGTGTATGTCTTAAGAAATGTCCAATGTAGTCTGGGAAATAATCGAGATAGCTGACCCAGTGTCAACTTCCATAGGAATGTCTGATCCAGAAATTCTCTGTGTCACAATGATTGGGTCTATTGAGATTTTGTTCACATCCCTGCAGTAGTATGAGAAATGCAGCAGATAACCACCATTGTTCTCATAGTCGTCAATTCCGTTATCATCTGTATCAAAGCAATAAATTTTCCCACATTTTCGCGTTCTTTCTTCAGACACACCCTCTCGAAATGCCCCACTTTGTCGCAATATCTACATTTTATTTTTGTGTGCTTACATGAGTTTGCTCTATGGTCACCCCCTCACATTCTCTTGATGAAATGTCCAGGATTCAGAAAATATGACAATGTCATCGAAATGCGCAACGACATGTTTGTTTTTTGTCTACTGTTTAACGTCCCTTTCGAGAATTTTTCACTCATATGGAGACGCCACCACTTGTCGGTGGAGGGCCATTGAGTAGTGAGGGACCTTTTTTCGTGCCAGCACCTACTGCGACACGGGACCTCGGTTTATACGTTCTCATCCAAAGGACCGGTCTCTACGTCCCACAGTGGGATTCGAACCCGCGACGCAAGGATTAACTCCTTACTCCGCGATTCTAGAGCAGACTTTCTATTACTGCGCCACGCGGGCGAACAATTAATTCTGAAATCATTTTGACACGAATCTACTAGACTCTATCCACTTCAACTGATAGACATCATTCAAACTTTAAATTGATTGATTGATTGTATGTTGTTTAACGTCCCATTCGAGAATTTTTCATTCATATATAGACGTCACCATATACCGGTGAAGGGTCTCAAATTTTGACCTTTACTCGACACTCAGGGCCATTGAGCAGTGAGGATCTTTATCGTGCCAACGCCTGCCGTGATACGGGGCCTCAGTTTTTAAGGTCTCATCCGAAGGACCCGCAACTTTCACTTCAAAGTGCTGAGCGCATGGCGAAGGAACAATTGCTACCCATTTTTTTTTTTATCGACTTAGGACTGTCGCGGCCGAGATTCGAACTCAACGACCTCCCGATCTACCGACTGAGCTAATGTGAACGATAATTTTAAATTGAAACTTAATATATACGGTATATATAATTTACATTTTATTTTCTCCTTCATTTTAAGTCTTTCCATTTACCGATTCATCAGTCTTTAAGTCCTGGCCATTTGGTTGGCCGACCTCATTTGCATATAAGATCGTCTAATGCAAGAGCTTCCTGAGACTTTACTTTCGGGATTGAAATCTGTTCATTATCTTCATGAGTTCATTTTTCTTTTCATGTAGCCATTACCTTTTCATCCGTTTCTTATCTTTATCTCTCTTTACTTCCATATCAAATGGATTTGATTATCAGGGTAATAAATTGCATTTTTTTTTATTCCCCGTCCTTTCACTTCAGCATGGATTTGATTATTAAATTATCATTTTTTAAAGATAAATATTTTATATACTTCCATCCCAAAAATAATTTAATTATTTCAGCGAAAATGCTGATTGAACTTCTCTCCCTCTCTCTAATTTCATTTCGTACTTTCACGTAAATTTAGATTTTTAATTAGCAAATCACCTCAACATGACCCCTCCCCTGCCACAAGTCTCTATCTTTTCAATTCCACAGTAAAAAAAAATTGTCATTTTTTTAAACAAATTTAAACGTACAAAACACTCTGGATTCTTTAACATGTTTAATTCCGATTTTAAGATTAGGGGAAAAATATTCTTCTGTGTTCATGTTTTAGTCAACACTTGGTCCAAGTCAGAAGAGCGCTTTAAAAATTGAACATGAGAGATCACCTGTCGGCTATCATATCCTGGTGAAAGTAAGAAGTTTATTCTAACAAGGATTAATTCATGCAAGTTTTAAATCAGTCAGTTTGATTTGGCATGTGTGAATTGCTCCACTAATATCACCAACCTGTGCATTCTGCTGTCATTACAGACTGAAGCAACTTTTGTTAACATGTAACTGATGTAATTATTGGCATGATATAAATCCTGGCAAGTGGAATGGGGGCCCTATATAACCTTATCTTTCGATTTTCAGGGCAAATTTAATTGTAAGCAAGTAACAAGATACGCTTGTTATAATCAGTTGTATAAATTGTTTGATGTTT